AGAAAGGCAGGTCCCTAAGGCCTAATCACTGAGCCTTAGGCCAGGGAAGGCCTGTGTCAAAACACAAGAGGGAGGGGTCAGGCATGGGGGGTGCATACCTTTTAACCCCAGAGCTTGGGAGGTAGAGGTAGGCAGATCGCTGAGTTCAAGGCTAGCCTGGTCTACATGATGAGCTTCAGGCCAGTCAGGGCTATATTGCAAGACCCTGTCCCCAAACAAAAACCCAGGTGGATGGTGTCTAAGGGATGACACCCACAATTGTTCTATGGCATCCATTCATGCACACACCCCCTCACATACACCACCACCACCACCCCACCCCTGGCATAATATACACCTATGTGAACGTGTGTGTGAACGCATGCAAACAAAACCAAATAAAAACAATGTTATCAGGACCAAGGAAACAAGGGACAGAGAACAAGTCAGAGGGTCAGGAGCCCCCAGATCTTACAGTCCTACCAATCAAGGCAAAACTTGAACACATTCTTTCACATAAGCCTTGTCACCCAGGAGGGAGGAAAACAGTCCTTTGGCTGACACTACGCTTTGGGGATTGCTCTCCAGGGTCTTGCTCAGCAGTCACCTGACCGCACAGGCAGCCACTGTCCAGTGCCGTTGTATGAAGTGGGTACCAGATTCAGCTGGGGAAGGGACCCAGGCACTACGGTGGCACAATTATTTTGCTTAGGCCATGGCGGGCCTTGGAGTTCATCCTTCTCCACAGGTGGGAGTTCTGCATAAACAGCTGGGAAGAGAGCAAACCCCAGGAGAGACAGAAGATGCTCCTTTCCACACAAAAAGCAGTTTAAGAAATCCTTTGCAGGCCGGAGAGATGGCTCAGTGGTTAAGCACACTGGTTGTTCTTGCAGAAGACCCTGGTTCGAATCCCAGCACCCACATGGCGGCTAACAACTCACCATAACTCCAGTTCCAGGGGATCTGACAGCCTCTTCTATACTCCTTGGGCACTGCACGACACGGGTGCACTTACCTACATGCAGGCAATGCATGACAGCAGGAAGGATTCCCTGGTAGAGAAGGGGACAGGAAGGTGCTGGGAAGGAAGGAGGGGCAGGAGGACGAAAACCAACCAAGGTGGGGTCCACAGAGATGGCTGAGCAGTTGAGAGTGCGGCTGAGCCGCCGCTCCAGCCCTCTGCACAGCCTCTCTGACTTGTACGAGAACTGGGCTGTGTTCTCAAACACAGGATGGAAAGGGCAACACAACTTGGATACAAATATTTTTGGTGAGAAAAAAATTTATTAGGAGTGTACTTAAAGATATTTCTCCTAAATTTGATGATTTCTGCTTAAAAGACCCAGTCAACATTGTTTCTGTGTGACATGCAGAGGCCTCACTTAACCACTGATGGGTGGCGTCGAGCACAAACACCTGATTGCTAATAGCAACATGGAAGTAAACACAAAGGGAGCTCAACAAGGGCCGGTCAAGGTGGCACAAGCCTGAAATCCAAGACGCAGGAGGCAAAGGCAGGAGGCCTGAGGCAGCTTGGGGACAGCCTGGTCTGCACAGTGACATTCCGTTCCCCAAAAAATCAAAGCGGGGGTAGGGAGATGGCTCAGCAGGTAAGGGCGATTGCTGCTAAACTTGTAACCCACAGGGTGGAGGGAGAGAAGTTGCTCTCTGACCACCACATGCACACTATCACACATACCGACATGCCTATACATTCGCACAAAATAAATGTTAATAAAAAACCCTTAAAAATCCAAATCAGAGAAACAGAACATAATTTAGAAAAGCAGCTACTAGGCACTGAAGATTTTACTTTTTATTTAACCATGCTGCATGTATACACACATTATTGATATATACAACTTGAACAAGTACAATTTATACATAAAGTACACTGCAAGTGTGGACACAAACTCATTGTACAACCTTTAATTCTGGCCACTAAACAGTCCTGCCATAATGCTACTCAAGTATTAATGATTCAAACTAGTCAGACAACAGTGTAAATTTAAAGGCACTAGGAAGATCTATGCTTTCTAGTATTTTAAGAAAAATAAAGAGGAAAACCAATGCACACATTAGGAAACTAAGGGGGACAGCTGGGTGCAGTGGGGACACACCTGTGATCCAGGCTTGGGACGTGGAGGCAGGAGAACCAGATCAAGGTGAGCCTGAGATACACAGTTTGAGGCCAACCTGGGCTACATGGGACTTTATCTCAAAAAGGAAGAGGGGTGAAGAGGAAGAGAAGGAGAGAGGAGGAAGACGAGAAGATGGAGGGAGGGCAGGAGGAAGGAGGGGGAGAAACTGGGCAGACACTTGTGTATATAAATGTAAACTCTGCCCATTCCCTAATTCACAGCCCTGTTGGACAGGGATTTTTCTTGCCTGAAGAGTTAAGGTACAAAAACCAAAACAAAATACCAAACTATAATCCTAATTTTTAAAACAGGAAGATGAAATAACATCTTCCCTTCTCCCTCCAAAATAATCTTGATGTGCTTGTTGTGAAAAACATACATTAAAAAAATTAGCCCCCTTCTAGAAAGTACATGAGACGGCTCTTCAAATGGACTTACTTGTGGGCAGCCCTTCCTGCACAAGCCTTCCTGTGGTTACTCTTTCGCTTTACAAGGGTCTAAAGCAGCTGAACGCTGTCTTCAAACAGCCCACTAGAGTACACGATCACAGAGCTCACCGAAGCATGGAGAATAAATACTACTTTTTAAATTAAGGAAAAAAAGAATATTCATCAATACCCTATTTATATACATGTGCCGATCACTTAAAATATGTACACTGATTCAACTATTAAGTTGATTTGTTCATCTTTATCCTTTCATGAAATTAGCAACGAAAACACAGAAATATTCCACTCACAAAAACAGCAACATGGAGCAGCCACAGCACGCGTGACCATGTCGGTGTCCGCCACCCTCAGGTGGACCTCTGGTCTGGCCAGAGCCTAACTTGGTATTTCAGAAAATGTATAACGTCCATCTGTCTAGTTTTCACAGAAATGACTTAACCAAAGCATTACTTGGTTGACAGCAATCCCAGCACCTGGGAGGCTGAGGCATAACTGGGAATCCCAGGCCAGCCCGGGCTAACACACGAGATACTGTCTCAAAACAACAAACAAACAAACAAACAATCACTAAAGCAAACTGCTTACAGAAATGTCTCAGTATTTTTACTTTTTGTAGATTTATTATTTTTGTCCCTGGGATGGGGGTGGGGGGGAGTAGCTACCACACTGGGTTCAATTTCCATACTGTTCTGGCTTCATTTAGAGCGGGAATTCCTCCCTGCTGTAGAAGACAGAGTCTTTTTGAAGGAAGGCATGTCAATTTTTTTCCCCTTACCAGTAAAATTAAGATTTCTATAATTACTAACAGTTAAATTTACAAAGTTCAAATATTTGACAATCAGCTGGGCGTGGTGGTACACACTTTTAATCCCAACACTTAGGAGGCAGAGGCAGGCAGATCTCTGTGAGTTCAAGGCCAGCCAGGTCTACATAGTGAGTTCCAGGCCAGCTGTGGCTATAGGGAGACCCTGTCTCAAAAAGACCAAAAAAAAAAAAAAAAAAAAAAAAAAAAAAAAAGACAATCACCAAGACACTGCTCACATAAAGCCTTTACAAGATCCGTGCCCAGCACAGCACTTTGCAGCACTAAGCAACACCACAGAGGGAGTTACAGGTATGTGGCTCCTTCCATACCACCAAGAACATACTGCTGGGAACACCAGGCTAACTGCCCCAACGCTCACCACAAAGGACAGTGCTAGAAAGCACTGCAAATTTACAGACATGTTTTCAAACACTACCGCTTCACCAGGGCTCCACCTCCCCTCACCTGCCTATACTCGACATACAGCTCTGAGATTATAAATCAAACTTTACCCAAACTGCTAAAGTCATAGTAATTTAATAAAACCTAATTCGTGAAGTCTCAAAACTTTTGCATTCTGTGTGTTTGGAGCTGATTATATAATTTTAAATTTACAAAACATACTAAGTGGTTTAGGAACTGTGTAACTCAAAAAAGTAACCAACAAAAACAAAATAATCCCCATTTATTATAATTACTATATAATGAATATAATTTTTTTTTCTGTCTTTTTGAGACAGGGTCTCCTTATTGCCCCAGCTGTCCTGGAACTATGTAGACCAGGCTGGCCTCAAACTCACAAAGATCCACCTGTCTCTGCCTCCCAAGTGCTGGGATTAAAGGCGTGCGCCACCACCCCCAGCCTAATGAATACAATTTTATTTGAAGAAAAATATGGCCTGAATTAGTCAATAGAAGAAATTTGGAGAAGAAATGTTTTTTTTTTCTTTTTCTTTTTTATGTGTATGAGTGTCTTGCCTGCTTGCGTGTGAGTACACCCGTGTCGTGCAATGCCATGGAGGTCAGAAGAGGGCTTCAGATTCCCCCGGAACTTGGAGTTAACGACAGTTTGTAGCCACCATGTGGGTCCTGGAAATTGAACCTGGGTCCTCTGCAAGAGCAGCCAGTGCTCTTAACCGCTGAGCCATCATCTCTCTAGCCCCTAGTTTTTCTCTTTCAAAAGTGTTATAAAGCCTGGACATGGTGGCACACGCCTATAATCACAGCACTTGGGAGGCAGAGGCAGGCAGATCTCTGAGTTCAAGGCCAGCCTGGTCTACATAGTGAGTTTCAGGCCAGCTGGGGCTACAGAGAGACCCTGTCTCAAAAAGACCAAAAAAAAAAAAAAAAGTTATAAAGGCAAAGAAATAAACGATGTTTTACTGGCTTAGCTTCAGTTTTTGAAAAATGAGACCTTGTCAATTGGTATACACAGGTTATTTCCATCAGAACTTAAATTATAGAAGGGAGTGTCTTATGTCCAGGTTAAATTCTTTAAAATTTAATTATTTTTACTTTATGTGTATGAGTAATGCCTGCATGAATGTAAGTGCAATGTAATTCAACATCAACATAGGTCAGAAGAGAGTGCTGGATCCCCTGGAACTGGAGTTACAGACGGTTATCAGCCTCCATGTGGGTGCTGGGAATCGAACCCAGGGCCTCTACAAGAGCAGCCAGCACTCTTAACCACTGAGTCATCTCTCCAGTCCTCGAGGAGAACTTTTTAAAATGGATTGTGAGCAAAGAGAGTGACCAGTACTGGCTTCAAGAGGACATGAAGAAGCCAGAGCAGCCACGGCAGCAGCACTGGCGGTGAAGCAGAGCCGGAGGGGGACATGAGCAGGAGGGCGACAGCCAGGCTAAACTCCGGTTTACAGCGTCCACCTGCAAAGCAGTCCGATTATGCAGCTTTCTACAGGAGACCAACAAAGTCAGTCATCTCATACTTAAAATGCAATGACTGTTAGTATAAAGTCAGCACACGTTTAGACAGGCCAGCCAGCGGTGTTAGGACAGTCACTTAGATGCACAGGAAAGACACTCGCATACAACATAGGATGATTCAATCTGCTACGAACTGTGTGCAAAACAGAAGTCTTTCTTCTTTTCTGAAATTGTGTTTATATAAATACACAGTAGTTAGGTAAATAGCTCCAAGACTATCATAGGTTGTTAAAATTGCAACTCTACTAGGAACTGTTCCCCAACTTTCCTCAGCTGCCTCAGCAGAGCAGCTGACGCTGCAGTCCACACACTGTGCACTTTTTTTTATGTTACAGAAACTGAACAGAGTCTAAATGTTATTAGTCAAATTGTTACTTCCAGTCTGACTCCATGATTTATAGCTTCCATTATGTGAAATTACACGACATCCGCAGTGTTTTAAAGATTTTTGCCCAGGCAATGAGAAAACCACTCTTTTTTATTTTAACTTTAATTCTGTAACATTTACTAAAGTAAAGAGTCGATCACGGCCCCAGGTTTCACAGAACGCTTTCTGTTGGGAGAAGAGAAAAAGCAAGGTGAGTGTGCTCTTAGAGACTGAAGCACTTCACATCACACAGTGGAGATTAGGGAGGTCACGGAGACTGGAAACAGCCAGTGCCACACTGGACCATGGTAAGGTTTGATTGATGCCCACTTTTTTAGGGCAGGGGAAGGCACCGTGAGTAAGCACAAATGTTGGCACAGCCCGGTACTGCCGAGCAGTGAGACACCGAGCACAGGACCAGATGAGGCACAGAGCCTGGAGATCTGCAAGCTTATCAGGGATGCCCTGGAGGGTCTTCTGGTAGGCTAGCAGCACAGGCTGACTCTGAGAATCAGAGCACAGCATCCAGAGCCACACTCCCCGCTGCAGAGGCAGGACTGCAGGAGAGCCACACTCCCTGCTGTACTCACGGCCATCCTGCCCCACAGCTGGCTCATGTGCCTTTCATGAGGAACATCACATGGAACACATATGCAAGAGAATTCGAACATGGGTGCTTATTGTACACATCTGCTTATGTTTATGACCACAGTTTTTATAGGATTTTCAGCTAATTCAGTTTGGCTCATATAATGTTAGTCCACAAGCATATCTTTTTAGGTTACTGTAAATAAAAAGCATATGTTTTAAAATGAGCATTCTGGAAGCTGTATCTAAATATTTTATCAAATTGTTTCAGGTCTATACAGCAAGAAAAAGAAAATGATTTTGCAATCTCATGTAAATAATCTGAATTCATGGCTTCTCTTTAGAAAGGAAAAGGTTCAGCAACAAAGGGGACTCTACCCCACAACTAAGCAGGACTAGGACTGCACCAGCTTGCCACTTCCTCCTGCCTCTGTGCCAGGCCAACTGTCCACCAGGACCATCACACCTGTGCTCTCATCTTAGCAACTGCAGAGTTAAAAGGAGAATAGACCAAGCTGGGTGTGGTGGCACACGCCTTTAATCCCAGCACTTGGGAGGCAGAGGCAGGCAGATCTCTGCGAGTTTGAGGCCAGCCTGGTCTCCATTAGTGAATCCAGGCCAGCTGTGGCTACAGGGAAACCTTGTCTCAAAAAAAACCCCCCCCAAAAAAAAAAAAAGTGAAAAGTAAGGGGCTGCAGAGCTGGTTCAGCCATTAAAGAGCACTGGCTGCTCTTGCAGAGGACCTAGGTTCAGCCCCCAGCACCCACATGGCAGCTAACAACTGTCTCTTGACTCCAGTTCCAGGGGAATCCAATGCCCTCTTCTGACCTCCAAGGGCACTGCATGACATGAGTACACACACATGCAGCCAACACACTCATATACATAAAGTGAAAATATTTTTAAGTGAAAAGTAAAGAGCACCTCTAAAAGCTTGTTTCTTAGAATCCATTTACTGTATCCTTAAGATTAGATGTGTGGCTTCAGGTGGCACATAAAATACTTTATAAACTCCCCATGTAAATGCTCAAAAATGCAATCAAAAGTACATTTAATATGTGACCGATTCCCTCTCTCCCTAGAGTTCAAGGATCATAAACTGTATTATGTCTGTGAGATTATGTAACACAAATTAATCCCATACAGCTCTACCATACACATAACTCAGAAGCAAAAAAAGCAATCTTGTCATTCACTCAAATAAGCTAAAAGCACTTGATGTAAGAACAGGAGCAAAGAAATACACTCCAGCCCAGGGCTCCCACTGAGCGTATGTGACAACACGCACACACCGCCCAACAGTCAAAACTGGGAGAGAGCAAGAGATGTCATACTAGCTTTCCTTGAGATGTAGGAAATCGGGTCCTTGGGGCAATGTCTAGGACAGAAAAACTGACCATCTGAATATGATACTTTGGGAGTCTAACCAGGCAAACTAAGTAGCATCTCAATACAGAACTAGTGTGAGATGTGAGAAAGGAAACAAGACAGCAGGTGAGCCTATCCTGAGTAAAGAAAGTGAATCAGAAGTGAATTCTATTACTCACTGTGATTTAGTTACAATTACAATTCTTTAGCCACATTTTACTTATCCAAACTGTAACTACATAAGGTACATGATTTTTAAAATACCAGTCAACGTAAGTATCACAGAAACAACAGGAATTCAACTTCCTTCAGGTGGCTCTACAGTGCCTCAATGCTGTTCTTACCGTCTCCCTGTCTTGGGCCTTGCTTTTCCCTTTGAGGTCCGTGGCCTTTCTAATTTCATCAAAGACTGACGCAGACTTTCTTCGGTATAGGCGAGGTACACGTGAGAAAGGTCTACTTCAAATGGCTGAGAGAAAGAGCCAGAGGGAAGTTAAACTTGGGAAGACTGAAAATACGAAATAAAAAAACATCTAGCAAAAGAGCCACAGAAGTCAAAACCAATCTCTGAAGACATGTTCTAATCCCTGCATCTAAAATGTACTCAAAGCTGGTGATCTAGAGCCCGTTATAGCCCATAAATTTCCTCCAAGGAAAACGGTCTTCTTTTCTCCAAAGCTGGCACCTCTCCTTGTTTACCTGGTCTACAACCAGCTCTGAAAGGGAAGGCAGGCATTCCCAGTCTCTTGCCATCACGACACAAACACGTGGTGAACACAACTCCAAAGAGTAACACCAAGCCGTGTCGTGACAGAGACAAGAGGACCCTGTGCTATGCCTGAGCAGAGTTGCCCTGCTAACTACCTGGGTACCCAGGAGCCTCTATTCACAAAAGATGAGCCCACCGTTGAGCAGAGCCCAGAAAAGATACCAGGTTGGTGACAACACAATCACAATGACCCACTTTCCTACAGAGAAACAAAGGGAGTGTTTGAAAAGGATTCCTGGGGCTGGAGAGATGGCTCAGCGGTCAAGAACACTGGTTGCTCTTGCAGAAGACCCGGGTTTGAATCCCAGCACCCACATGGCAGCTAACAATTGACCATAACTCCAGTTCCAGGGAATCCAACAGCCTGTTCTGACCTCCGCCGGCATTGCACAACACGGGTGCACTTACCTACATGCAGGCGTAACACTCATACACATAAAATAGATAAATAGAATTAAAATAAAAAAATAAACAAAAAGGACTCTTACATCTTTCTCCTTTTTATCAGGTACTGGGGTTTGCTTCCTCATGTTATTTCCTGTATAGGCAACACATTTCTCAAAAAAAGAAAAACGGGAAAGAAATGTGAGTTAGTGCTGTGAGTCAGGCAAGCTGCTGACACATCCCGACGCTTATGAGGAAGCATATCTGCATCCTGGAGCAGCAGGAACTGACAGTCCATCCACCCCAGGAAGCCCAGACCCAGACCTTCCACACATGGTCTCTGCCTCACGGTTAATTATGAAGACATCTTATCTGGCCTACCAGATTCCCATCTGCTCCATTCTCTGGGTGGCCTCTCTCCTCACCAGCCAGCACCATCCCTCCCTATGGCCACAGGGAAGCCAAGGGACACTCACCAGCTGCCATTCTCCAATGTCTTCATTCCAATGGACATAGTTCTCAATCATTTCCTTTCAAGGGAGTTAAAAAAGTAATTTTAGTAAGTTAAAATATTGAAAAATATTCATAAAACTGAGTGTGCAAAACAGGGTCAACATGTATGACAAGTTCATACATGTACCATAATACCTTGTTCACAGTCACAATTCCAACTTACCCATTCCTAGAACTAAACTCTTCTAAAGTTATATTTTTTAATTTTAAATTATGTGTGTATCTGTGTACATGCACGCACATGTATACAGATGTTTGCAGAGGCCAGGGATGGTGGATCCCCATGGAGCTGGAGTTCCAGGTGGCTGTGAGCTGCCTGTCAAGGTGCTAGGAACTGAACTCGGGTCTTCTGCAGCAGCAGTGGGAGCTTTACTACTGAGCAAGCTCTAGCCCAAAAGGTACTTAAAAAAATTTTTTGTTACGTGTGTGTGCGTGTGTGTGTGTGTACATGCTATGATATAGGTGTGAAGTTCAGAGGATAACTTTGTAGAATCAGTTCTTCCATGTTTATGTGGGTTCTGGGGATCAAACTCAGGTCACCAGCTTGCACAAGTGCCATGTGGCTGGCCCACCAGAACTAACTGCTTTTTTTTTTTTAATTTTGTTTTTGTTTTTGTTTTTATTTTATATGAATGAGTGTATTGCCTGCACATACGTAAGTGCACCCGTGTTGTGCAATGCCCGCGGAGGACAGAAGAGGCCATTGGATCCCCTGGAACTGGAGTTACGGACAGCTGTTAGCTGCCATGTGGGTGCTGGGATTCAAACTGGGTCTTCTGCAAGAACAGTGTTCTTAACCGTTGAGCCATCTCTCCAGCTCCCTGGTTTTTTCTTTTTAAATACAAGTGCTCTTTAGAAATAATTTTAAAGTTTTCTAATGGTTGCTCTATTACCACAGTTCTTCAAGTAGCACCTGGGCTGTCATGATGGGTCAAGAAAGGCCATTGTTCTGTCTTGGGGCTACCTGAAGACCACTGAGGTGCTTTCAACACTGATTATATTTGCAGTCT